AAAAGCTTAATTTTTCTTATTGAAACTTAAGACATCTTGAAACACCGGCCAATATAAGAAATACATGTTCAAACAGATCAAAGCGGGCACATACCGATGTTTAGTATTGAACCGTTACAATAGGTTAGTGTTATTTTGGTTCAGTGTCTGATGGCTCCGGACGTGAAGCACAGCGTGCCCGTAACGTCTTTTTTCTGCAACAAGTGTTCAATTGTTTGTGTTTCCAGACAGCGGCTCTGTTATTTCTTTTACCCTGATGACGTAATGGTCTCGGGTACCAGAGCACCATCACACAGTTAGCTGCGATTCCTGAGAATTTGTTTTGTTCTGTGAATTACATTTACGTCATTTGTTTATTTAAAATCGTGAACGATCAAAGTAATGTAGTCCATTGAAATTTCAGTTACAATTAAAGGACCTAATATTGCATTTTTTAGAGGCCGCAATTTTATTTTCATATGTGGGGTGTCAATAGAAGCTCAACCCTAAGTTTGTGGAATTGCTGCCCTTGTCCCCCGGCTGCCATCTTGAAAAAAGGGGTGTAAACACTTTTTCGCAATATCTCGGAAACTATGAGACCTACAAAAAATCGTACATGCATAATTTGTAGCAAATTGTTTTGCCTACAAATATGTTCACATAACTTTTTTCAAGTGCTGCTGAAGCGCTGTTGCAACGCTCCAAAGTTGACCGGGTTCGTCAGTGCTCATGAGAATCCGGTCAAAAAATGTTTTACGTCTTTTTATAATATTTTTTTTTGTTGTAAATATATATCTACAAATATATACCTACAAATTTAATTATTCATCGCTAACTCTTTTCCCCGCCACGTATGAGGTAGAGTCTGTAGGCGCATTTTTTACGTGCCATGCCATATTTATTTATTTATTTATTTAAACTTTCTGCACAAACATTTGTGTACAAAGGCGGACTTAATGCCATCAGCATTATCTCCCAGTCAACCTTGGGGTGGTCCAGAAAAGTTAGGGTAGGTGCATTTATTACAAATTTACAACAACAGAAAAAGCAAAAAAAAATTTTTAAAAGCATTACAAGATTTTTAAATATCAGATAAAACTATACAATATTACATATTAAATCTACCAACAAAATACTACACTAATAATATAAGATATACATACTTCCATACTTATATTTTATATATAAATAAATATAATGTATACATACTTTATATTATATTTAACGATTCAGAGAATCTGCTGACAGTTTTTTAAGGAAGTACTCGCGAGTTTTCCTTTTTAATGCAGAGCGACTTTTAGTTTTCCCTTTTTTTGCGAGCGAACTTTTTAGCAGTCTTGATTTTGAGAGGCAGCACGTTCCACAAAATAATGGACTGAACAAAGAAAGACGAGTGCATGAAACCAGTACGATGAGAAGGACATTGGAGAAGATGGTTGAGATGATGGCCATACTTGGGGTTAAGCTTCTATTGACCCCCCAACACGTTTCCCAAAAATAAAATTGCGCCCTCTGAAAAATGGAAAGCCCAAGTAACATTTTAATGGACTAATAATACTTCATCATCATCATCATCATTGTCATCGTTTCAGCCTAAATTCACCTAGTACTTTATCATTTTACCTAATTCTTCAAAGAAAGGCAAATTTATAACTCTTTAAAATAATTTATTAGATTTAAACATTCTAAAACGACATCTTTTAACTACGAAATTGTGCATTTTGCCAAACATTCCGTAAAATGGCGAATATCGGTCTAACTGAAAACGTTTGCGCGAAAATCCGCTAAGCACTCGGCCTATATGTTAGTGAATAACTGAATGGTAGCTGCTGCCAACGCATTTTAATTAGGCACTATATCATGATGTACAAATTCGTGTTCATGTTTGTCATCTACTTTATTGCGTACTTATTCGATACATTTGAATGCAGTTACAGCTACAGTTAATATCAAACACTAAACCACTTCGAATCTATAATTAACAATCTAATAGAGAATTCTCAGTTATATTTTTTTACTATTCAACTAGTAGGGTGTTCACATAAGTTAAATAGTAAAAAATACATTGAATTCATTGAAATGAACTCAATGAGTTTTAAGTGTAGGATGAACGAAAATTTGAATTTTTTTTTCTACACTTTCTTCAACTGCACTTACAATTGTAGTCTGTGATTTTACTGTATATAGTGTACACAATGACAAAACATTAAAAAACATATTGCAGAGGAAGAATACTTGGCAAATCTACACAGACGAAACTATTGTAGTTTAACTATGGATAATGTCATAAGTATGTCGATTACGTCGCTTGCTCCCATTCGGAAATTTTAGAGAAGAACTCGCATAGCGATATTTGAAGAGCATACAGCACAACATTTCGTATACATACATCGTACGTACGTATTTAAATTGCATATTTAAGTCGCCCGCGAATGTATTACAACTTTAGATTTTATTGCGTAGGTTACACGTAGGTTGTTTGGGATACTTATATGCGAGGCGCGAAACGAAAATAAGCAGCTTTCGCCTCGGCATTCGGCAATAACTGAATATTAGGGCGTAACTAATTACACTGATTACCGACTCACATACCGGCGGGCGGTGCGCCTGATTTGTACCGTTAAATTGTAATCGCCCGTTCCAGTCGCGTTGCCTGTTTACCAATCAACAGCGGACGTCAATAACTATGGCATTCGAGTAATCACGGGCGGTCGATCGATAAATGGACTATTAAGCGAACGCTACAAAGGTTTAACTGACGCAACTCTCAGTATGTCCCTATAAAAATGTTAAAAAACATCACAATAACCTTCAATTGCCATCAAATAGATGTATTATTAGATAACCGATAATTGAAGACCCGAATGGCGTAGTCGGTAGTGTACCTGCCTCCTGCGCCAGAGGGTGTGGGTTCGATCCCAACTACTGGAAAAATATTGTGTGACGAAAATAGTGTTCATATATGCATAATATGTATTTATTTACAAAAGAAAAGTATGTTTAAGTATGTTTATAAGTTATCTAGTACCCATAGTACAAGCGTTGCTTAGTTTGGGACTAGAGAACATTGTGTAAAAAATGTGTCCTAAAATATTTATATTAAAAAAATATTTAAATTATATTTATAATTTATATTGGATAAAATGACAGTAGTTAGGTTTACTTGGAAATGCATCTGCGCGTTATTATTCACGCGAAGGGTGCATATTTTTTAAATTAACTAGCTTATTTTAAGTGTTTTATTGCGTTAAATTCTACAAGGATCTTTAGAATTGAAAATTTCAGAGATTTGAACACTTACATACAGAAAAAAAAAAACATAGACATTCTGATTGGGACTGCCGATAGAAGTGAAAACATAAAACAATATCAAAATTCAAATTGAATAAATATTTAATTCTAAATATATTATAGGCACTCCGAACGATAGTTACAATATCTGTATTATATCCATACCTACAAAATATTTTTGCGTGTTTCTTTATTAAAAATAGCTCATGGAAAACGTTCGGTGACGATGATGCGAATTCGATCATTTTTGTTTACCCAAAAAGTGCGCCTAAAGAAGTTTTCACTTGAAAAAATCCATTTGCCACTGAACAGGTTAAGGTCTTTTTAAGTCTAATGTATTTTTAATTATTCACCCGAGCTACCCGTCTGATCATTTACTGTTCTTGAAGATTAAAAATGTTAATGGCATTGAATTTAATTTTAAAAAAGATATATAAGAACTATAAGCTGGTCCTGATCCTGATGTATTCAAAACCCCGGTATTTAAAAAACGAAATTAAACGAAACAAAATACGTAAAATATTACAGTATCTCTACCCTCTTACATAAGAAATACATTTGGGTATAAACAAAAATAAGAAAACTATCCTCAGAACACTTAAAGAAGGGAATAATGGCTTAAAGCGGGAAGTATTAAGTACCCTACGACGGACGTGACGTTTAAGCCTTCGTAGTAACAAAGCTTTTTGTAACTGACAACAGATAATGGGGTAGGGATATGATATTGCTAACGACTGATTTATTAGCGCGCAGAATATTTATGTAACTTATTTGAACCTGGACGTTTGGATTTAAATTCACAGTAAATTTATTGTAGGTTTTACGAAGCAACGTGCAAATTTCAGTTCCAGGTCAAATCTATGATTCAAATATTGTGTTGACTGTTCAATGGATTTGGCACCACTAAGTAGAGCGCTTTTTTAGATAATATTTACTTTAATTTATGTTTCGTGTCGTGGGCAATTGATTAAAATTTTATACATTTTTTAGCAGTGACAATGTTATCATTAGCATTTCAACAGAGATTCGTATTATTAGATGTTTATGATTACTAAATGTTATAAAATATTTCAACCGTACAATGGCATCTAAAATTCATTACAACAGCAATAGACAGTTTACTAATAAATAGTGCAAATACATATAAACAGCTATAGTAGGTCGGGCTATACGTGGTTGTGATAACACATTAAATAAACTGCCTCCTTAACCATAGATGGTGAAAACACTTCTTCAAAGCTTTAAATCGCTTTGAAAATACCACTGTTATATGTATATATCCGACGTAAGAAAAGAAAACAGTTTTTCTATAAGAAACTACCCTGGTGAAATTATTGCAAAATATACACTTCCCCTTTGGAGTCATTTATCGTAGTTCTCTCTTCAACAAATTGTTCAGTTCATGCAAAAGTCAAGTGGGAGGCGTGCTTCGGCAACAATATCACTTCAACATGTTACGTTGTCACAGTTGAATGTTGCCGCTTTCGGCCGTATCTAACGGCTATGTTCTTTGGACCCAGAGCCCGTAGATAACGTAGTATACCTACGGGCAACAAGTTGATTACAATCGCATTTGCGCAATGGCAATGCGGTAGCGCCAGCAATCACGCGCACGTCGCGACGGCACGACGGAACGAATCGTTGGTTAATCTCACCGGTAACCGAGCCGCTTTGTCCGCGCATGTTTACGTTACGTTCTATTTTCGCTGTCCATCATCTGGGCATTGTTAGCGCGTGTTTACGGCGCGGTGCGAGTGGACCGAGCGGGGCACTTGCGGTCGCGCGCGTCTTTTGCGGTGCGGAGCGGGCGGTTCGCGGGATTGCGCGGCGTTTTTGTTCGACGCCCGTGGTATCGGCCCGTGGGAGGCTAGCTCATGCCCACTGACGGGTCTTACGGGGAGGTGACATTGGTGCTTCACATGCCTTCGCGTTAGACCCGTGAGTGCGACAGAGAGCGCAACAGGCGGCGTCCTGCTTCCACGTTTTATTAACCAGCGGACAACGAGTGTTGGGAACTCATATAGAATCCAACGTCTGTTGTTGAACAGGACGTACAAATTCGCTGCTGGTCAAGGATCTGCCGGAAAAACGGGAAATAACATTTCGTATCGAGAAACAGCCAGGCTTTGCCCAATGCTATAGTCTACAGCGTGATAGAACAATAACATAACATCTAGTAGCACGATTTCGTAACTCTAATAAAATTTTAAAAGTAAACTGCGATTACGAGGTACAATATAGTAAAAGCATAATGTTTTTGTTCGATTTGTCGTAATAAGATTAATTTGATACATGTAATTATTTAAGGGTATTGTCGCAAATTCTTTCATTATTTATGATGAAACATGAATTATCAACAAATTGTTGAAAAAACTTTTTTAACCAATAAAAAACAAACTGGTCATGCTTATTTGCACAGCTTACTCATTAATCAGTACTTATTAACTTCACTTTTTTGCGAAAAAGTATTAGCATTTGTAATAATTATAGAACTTTTCACAGCAATTAAATGAGTAAATCTTGATACTTGTATCAAAAGATTTTTATCATTAAAATTCTAACTAACGAGGAATGGATTTAATTGTTAAGGCCATTCTATTAGCACCAACGTAAGTATTCTTATACAGGATGTACATTCTATAAACAACAAAGCTTTGCATTCCCGGACTACAAATATAAACGCATGAGTACTAACTGATTGAATCAACGGAGTGGCTGGAGTCGAGAGCTTGTTACAGACGTTTGTATACAATATAATAAGAAAATACCAATTCGCATCATTAAAAGTTCGGAACAAAGCTTATTCTGGAACGTATACACGATAAGTTCCGCGCAAAATTTCTAGGTCGATTCTGTTTATGGTTATGGCGAAAGGTTTATTGCTATATTACCGTGTTACAAACAATTTCATTCAGTCACAACACACTGCCTGTTTTACAATTTGCGTTCGTTTTACGATCCATTGTAATAGAATAATCGTGTTAAAATATCTCATTGGAAAACATCACATCAAGAAGATATCTCTGAGCTGACATTTAATCGGAGCTAATTTAGAATCTTGTAACTCTTGTCTGTTATCATTAGCCTCATCGGATCTTTCGATCGAGTTGACTTAAACTGCAGTAAGTGAATTAAGTAACTTTACTACAAAAATCAGAAAGTACTTGGGACAAAAATCTGTAAAACATAACTGATGTCAATCGGTCTTACGTAAAAGATATTTACTTAAACTTCGTGATATTAATTAAAACTTCGTATAATATTTCAATACACTTTGCGACGGCGTTCCAGCTTCAAGAGTTTACCTCGTTAATAGTTATCTGAATCGTGAAGGACGATATCCGTGGTGTTACCAGCCTGTATCAAGTTTATGTAAAGTTAATCACCAACAATTGCCTTCGTTGATCCGGTATTTAGAAACGTTTTAGATTAATATTATTAGGAATAGGACGAAAAGGTAAGGTAAAGGAAATCGAACCCACGTCTTCCAACCTGATTCTTTAACGACTAATCTAAGCAGTTGATTGCCATACTAACGAAAATTTCAAAGTCTTTCCTGTCATTGTTTTTCGTATTTCGTAGAGGTTATCGATTAGGATAATCAGATATATGAAAATAAATACTCCTTTTGACAGATATTAATTACGATTGGAAAATAAAAGAATTGATAAAACTCTGTTTTGTTAAAACCTTTAATTAATTTAATTTAAAATTACCTTTTTGTTACTTATTTTCAAATGTGGTAATAATATTTGCTGTTGCACGAATGTGCAGGTCCGTCCGGGTACGGTTTTCACAGAAGACCGACATGAAGTGGATGTGTTATACTTCTGCGTTTCGTTTGGTGAGTAAGATAGCCGGGCTCATTTTATTAAAAGGTCGCATCAACTTAGAGTTGCTGAAGTTGCTACTGAATCTTATTGCATTACTACGTGTATTGCATTGGGCGTAGGTAGCTGTTATATTCATTTTAAAATTGCATTTCTCACTCTAATTGTTGAAACAGACTTTGAATCCTGCGCCTTTGCGATGGTAATTGATGAACAGATTTAAAATAAACTTTATTTAATTCTCAGAATGTTGTAACAACATTTTTGTGCAGTTTGCATATCGTTATTTTCCTTTGGATCCGCTTGTTATGAAAAATGACTTTTATACTGACGATTGCGATATTTTTGAACGGTAACACAACGCGCTGTGTTGTTTACGTTGATGTTAGACTTGCCGCTTAGATTTGTTACATCAAAGATTTGGATGATTTAGACGTGGTTTCATTAAGAACATCATTGGCGGATGTGTTGTCAAATAAACGTCGTTTGTCATTCTCTTGACGGGCACGCACAGAAATTACACCGTTCGTGTGTGAATTGAGTATAGTTTTTTTTTACGTGTGATGGATGATGATAACTCTATCCGTCTTTGGCCTTTAACATCCAAGAAAGCTTGCGTATATACCAGAGTAGAGTAAAATTTAAATTGTATAACCTTGGTTCTGACTAGAACTTTGAGCTGCAACTTTTAAAAATTTCGATAAAATACACGCATGTATCATTCTCTTATGATATTTTACAGTCTTTGAGGCATTGGATTTTTTGTTTCCAAATATGGAATTGTAATAATCTCCGGTAATAAAGAGAGAAGTAGATATAGCATAACTTGTAAACATAAAACAAAATTTGTCGCTACAATCACAAGTTTTGGCATACAACAATATTTGTCCCTAAAATCGGCCAAACCATTTGTACCATATTATTATGTATTAAATGTATATTAAGTTTCAATATTATTAGTTTTAGCGCAGGGGATTAATAAATAATAATTCATACATGCTGTGCCCTCGCATTGTTTGAGGAACAATTCATATCGATTTGGAGTAAAGCATCGAATTAATGGAGGGCTTGGAATAGTATATTTGAAATACGTATCAGAAGTGAACCATAGACTTTAAATACCATTGACTGTAAATGTATTAAATTCGTTTTAAATATATCAATATTTAATAGTATTGATAATTTATTTTTTTATTAATATTCGCTTCATTTGTTATATTAATATCAATCATATTTATTTATATATTAATATATTTATATTAATCAATGCTTTCAATACTTTTCTCAAAGAATGGCACAAATATTAAGTTTAATTACGATCATATTAATGCAAAAAATTGACTAAATATACCTAAGTCTATAATATTCACAATTGGTTTACCATTGCATACCAGGGTGAAACTAAAAGTTTTGCCAATGAAAACTTATTTTAAATTTGGAATATAGAACTCTTTTGTAACTTAATTTTTAAAATTCCTCTCAGGTCAGTAGATTTTCTTTTCCGAACCGGGTGATATATATATTTTGACTATCAATAAGTGAGTGTAATGTTCAAATTTATTTATGAGTAATACGATTTTCTTCTGGTCTTACATGACAGCAAAGCTATGATAGACTACGATTTGCATTTAATAATGAAGTCCCATCCTGTACCACTGTTTACAATTGGTTTAATTAGTTTAAGCGTGGGCTCTCAGTGATGATATCCGTGAGGGAAGTCCTTAAACAGTGACATCTGAAGATAACATCAGTGCTCTGTGACGCATGATAGAGGAAGATAAGAGAATTACTTACCAGCAAATAAAAAATATCACACGGCCATTTATTTGTCTGGAAGCTGTGTAACTGATGGATTCGCTGACAAGATTCACATAAGACCAGAAAAGCCTTCGCAAGAATTTGTGTCTCGAAATATTAAAAAAATTCAACGGAGTTGACTCTTATACTGTATTTGACATCATCACAGGTGATGAGAGCTGGATATAGTGCTACGAACCCGAAAACAACGGAAACAAGAAAACAGGAACTTTTATAGTTTGAAATAGTAACGTGGTGCTTCAAACGCGAATGTGGAAAAATTAGTTTCAAATAAAGTTGACAAGTTCTCTAAATCTGACAGTTTAAACTCTGAATTTTATATTTTAAAACTGTTACTTTTACAGAAATGTAAAATTTACTATGTGATAATGTATATATAGTATATAGACATAATCGTGTAGGATATAATTATATTTCATACAGAGCACAGGATAGGATTTAAAATAAAAATATGCATAATAAAAATGAAAATCAAACATATTATTGCATTTGTGAATTGAAATTACAATTTTACTATTCTAGCTTCTTGTTCAGCAAATAAATCTAGTCGTGTGCAGTTCGATTTTCTATCGCTAAGTTTGCAAGACTCGATAAGCGTTCCTGACTCATAGAAGATCGCAAATAATTTTTAATTAGTTTTAGTTTGCTAAAGCTTCGCTGACAACTTCCAGCTGTAGTGGGAAGCGTAGAGAAAATTCACAGGGCAATACAAATATTAGGTCCTTACATATGAAATGGCATTTTGTATGGGAGGCATATAAAGTCAATTTTTTTTGTAAAATATATTTAATTAATCAAAGTATGCACCGTTGTTATCTATACACTTTTGCCATCTCATAGGTAGTTCATTGATCCCTTTACTAAAAAAAACACATGGGGGCGAGAATCAATAGACTCTTTGAAGGCGGTTTGGACTGCCGCATCGGAGTTGAATTTTTTTCCTTGTAAGAAGTTGTCCAAATTCCCGAAAAATTAATCTGTTGGAACAAGGTCTGGGGAGTACGGTGGATGTCGCAGACATTCCAATTGTAACTCATCTAACTTAGTGGTTGTTTGTTGTGCACTCTTGCGTTATCGTGAAGCAGCAGTCCTAGAGCGATTGACCAATCTCGGTTGTTTAGCAGCAGGTTATTCCTTCATGGTTTACAGTTGCTGACAATAGATATCTGCCCTAATCGTTTGGCCAGATTTTAAAAAGATGTAGTGAACGACACCGGCGCTAGTCTACTAAACACTCATAACTTTTTCTGAGTCAATTTTCGTTTAGGGCATGATTTGGCTGGATTTCCATGGTTCAGCCATTGCGACGAGCGCTTCCAATTATCTTACAGTATCCACTTTTCATCACAAGTAATGATTCGATTTGAAATCCCTTCATTATTGTGTCGGTTGAGCAAAGTAACAAAGCATTAGACGCGTATTTACAAGTTCGATTTACTCAATTCATGAGGTAACCATCATTCAAGTTTTTTTTTTACTTTCCTGATTTGCTGCAAAGTGGATTAATACAGTTTTGTCACTTACCCCGAAGCCTGCAGTTATCTCTGATGTGTTTTGTGATGGATCCGCCTTCCTAAATAGCCTTTAATTCTTCATTTTCCACTTTGGTCTCCGGCCGTCTACGGGGTTGGTTCTGTAGGTCGAATTTCCTGAACGAAAACGTTGAAACCAAAAGCGTACCGTGCTTTCTTTTGCGACACCAGCGCCGTACACATCATTAATCCTTCGAGCTGTTTCTGCAGCACTGGTGCCACGGTAGAACTCGTACTCGTAAATATACCGATATTTCATGTTTTCCATTGTGCGGTAATAAGCGACGCCAAAGAATAAAATAATGATGAAGAAAGAAATGAATGACTGTTTTCAAAACTCAAATGTAAGCCGTTTTATGATTTCCGTTTCGGTTCGACATACTTATTATATTATACTTTATAGATAGCTCATAG